TGGTCTCGAACCGGGGCAAGAAGCACTAGCAGCAGAGGCAGGAATGAGCCCGTCAGAAAGCCATGGGGGTCAGTGGGAGAGAAAGCGAGGCCAGATGAAGGGAGGCGTCACAGGCCAAAGGACTTGGGTACGGCAGAGGCCCCGGTGTCACGGGCTGGGGGACATGCCTAGAGCACGGGGATCTTGGAGAGGTGTATCAAAGAGGATTCACCTGGACTTTTGGACAGGATGGATCAAACCAGTTGTGCTGTGTGGACTGAGTCGGGCAATTACTTTATTGAGATGGTGTGAGAAACGGAGTCAGAGTTGCTGGCAAGCATCTCTTGTCCCCATGTGGGCGCGGTGCTCTGTGGGCGGCACCTCGGGGTGCAAGTAGCCCTGTTCCTATCGCAGAAGGACGTGGGGGTCCAGCCAGCCGGGCCGCACGGAGACCCAGGGGGCCCGGGAGGAAGCAATTTATGGAGAGTTACTGATAGCAGCATGGCATAACCTTTCTAGAAACTCATGATTAGAAAAGAAAACTGTTTTCTGCTGCTTCTCTTTTAATAAACAGGGAACAGAAAAAGCACTCCTTACCCCCCAAGCACGACAGACTCACAGCGTACCGTTCAAGACGAAGAGCAGAACAGGCGAGGGAACCAAGGGAGGGCCGCCAGAGTCCACCTGTAATTGCCAGGTCCCCAGCAGGGAGGACTGGCAGAGGGGACATTGTGTGGATCGCTAATTAGACATGGCACCCGGTGGGGGTGGGGGGTGTTCTGTGGGGAGGTTGGACCGTGAGTGAAGAGCTAGGGAGGCTGAATCGTCGGCAGAGAATTTTGGTCCCTTGAGTGGGAATATGTACATGTTGGTGATCCTGCGTAGCTGGGACTGTCGTGGATGTATATGGTGCCAATAAGGACAGTAGGGTCCGGGAAACAAACAGCTGAAATACATGGAGTCTTCTGCATGCAGCAGCCCCATGATATGTTTACATGCCTTCCTTGGGCCCAGAGTAAGAGCTTCCGGTCCCTCCGGAGCAGGTGCGGAGAGGTCATCTTTACACTTGACCTCTTGCCGAGGGATTGGTACAGCCCATCAGGGCTAAAGCCAGAAGCGGGCTGCTTTTTGTCTGCTGGTTACTGTTCTGATACCGTATCCTAGACCTATAAATGAAGGATGACGTATAAAAACATAAGTAAGAGGGGCGCCTGGGTGGCTCAGTCGGTTAAGTGTCCGGCTTGCGCTCAGGACACGATCTCACGGATCGTGGGTTGGAGCCCCACAGCAGGCTGTGTGCCGACAGCTCGAAGCCCGGAGCCTGCTTCGGATTCTGCGTCTCCCTCTCTCTCTGCCCCTCTCCCACTCGCACGCTCTCTCTTACTCAAGAAAACAAAACAAAAGCAAAACATAAGTACGCTGGGCCGAAGAACGCTGCAGTGTGTATCTGGATGTCACCTGACTCGAGGGGCTCCTCACGGAAACTTCCCTGGCTGCCATAAGCGTTGCTGTCTCTCCGTGCAGGTACTTTCACCCGGGCAGTGAACCCTTGGAGCTGGACTCCCGCTTCTGGGCCCTGCGGGACAGTATAGTGCAGTGTGAACTCCTCATGCTGAGAGTCCTGCGTTTCCAAGTCTCCTTCCAGCACCCACACAAGGTACATGCTGGGGAATTGGCAACTGTCTCCGGAGGCACGAGCTCATGTTTCTCTTTTGTCCTGAGACGGCACCCATTGAACCCTCAAGAACATGTCGGGTGTGCGAGGCAGAGCAGAGCCACCGCTGGGAACTGGGGGCCCCTGGCTGTACACGGTGACTGGCTGGGTGGCCTCGCTTGTTCCGCTTTCGGGGTTCTCTCAGGCAGTTCCGATGTCGGCGTCTGCCTTTCTGCCTGCGTGGCCAAGGCCACAAGCCGAGATCCGTGTGATTCTCCAAAGCCCTGGCAGACCCCGTGACTCACATAGATGGTATGCTCAGTGGGCCACGGGGAAACGGGGCTGCTTTCGTGATCTCCCCGAGGCCCTGTCCCCGAGAGGTGCTGCTCGGCTGCAGAGCTCACATCCTGCTCAGCTGTGCTTACAAACCCAAAAGACGAGCTGAGTCACAGAGTTGAGTGGCACACTTTTAACGGCTAGGAACCGGCAAGGCCCAGCAGGACTGTGAGACACCCTTCGAGTACTTGGATGTGGTGATACTTTGGGGTTCAGGCCCCGATGTGGGCAGCTTGGAAAGGTGGCCTGCAGGGACACATGTGGGGCAGTGGGGGGTTGGAACGGGGGTGTCGTGACCAGGATTTTGCCTCTTTTCTGATTGAAATTTTTATTGGGGCGCCCGGGTGGCTCAGTCAGTTAAGCTTCTGACTTTGGCTCAGGTCATGATCTTGCGGTTCGTGAGTTCGAGTCCCGCGTCGGGCTCTGTGTTGTCAGCACAGAGCCTGGAGCCTGCTTCCGATTCCATCTTTCCCTCTCTCTGTCTCTCCCCCACTCATGCTCCGTCTCTCTCTCTCAAAAATAGATGCACGTTAAAAAAATAAATAAAAAACCCAACTGAAATTTGTATTGAGGTAATTGTAGATTTACAAGCAGTCGGAGGAAGTAACACAGAGAATCCTACTTGGGACAGAGACACTGTGGGACCCTGCAGCCGTTGCAACAGCCAGGGGTTCCCGGGGTTGTTGCTTCTTACTTGTACTGCGCGGTGCCGCACCATTTCGTCACGTTCCTGCCTTCATCTGTTCGCCAGCGCAGTTAAAATACAAAAGCACCCCATCACCCCGGGGGTTCTTGTAATCCCCCCCCCCCCCCCCCCCCCCC